ACTAAACTAACAAGCAACGGCATGATAAATGGAAAAAATACTGAAGTTCTCAAGGTTCCAATTTACTTGGATGCACAATCAACAGCCATGGCAGCAGCAGTCAAGAAGTCAATGATGTACAGCACTGGGCAAATCTGCTGCAAAAAACCTCCTGAATGTGTTAAAAAGCAAAAGTGCCTCCTTGAGGACTAAACTGTATATTACCCAAGCCATGGTATTTTCAATCCCCTCATATGCATGCAAACACTGGAAAATGAGTAAGGAAAACCAATGGAGAATTGATGGTTTTGAATTACAGTACTGGCATAGCATACTGTATTACTGTGGACTTCTAGAAGAATGAACAAATTTGTCTTAGAAGTACAACTAGAATGCTCCTTAGAAGTAAAGATGGTAAGACTTCATCTCATGTACTGTGGACATGTTATCAGGAAGGGCCAGTCCCTAGAGAAGGATAGCATACTTGATGAAGTTGAGTGTCAGTGAAAAAGAGGAAGAGTGGCTGCAAGCATGAGCTCAAACACAGCAGAATTACGACCATGCTTTGTTGTGCTGTAGATAGGGTCGCTATGAGGTAGAACTGACACAACAGCACCTAACAAAAACAAGCTTGCTTCAGTTTTTTTGATTTGTATCAGAACAGACTACACACAGGAAAAAAATGTGTCGAACCAAGTTCACGGTTTGTTAGATCACTTTCTATCCCACTCTAGGCAACACAAAGGAGAACAGGCTGGATAGATTAAGACTTTAACCCTTTTCCCTACTTTATTTCTGGTTTAATCTCCAAACCTTATACACAATGTAACTCTGACCTTAAAGTCTTATATTATACTACTGTATACTGGCATTCTTGCCCCAAAATACCACATATGAAGGTAGACTTTTTTGGGGGAACCTGCTCCCTGAGGGAACTGCCATCTTCTCCCCTAGGGTCTCCCTGCCTCCTGCTTAAATGCTAGGCCCTGATACCAAATGGACTCCTTTTGAGAGAGGGACTTTTTACCTTTTATTTTATATGTTCTTATTGTTTGAACTTTCATAGTGAGTATATTTTACAGATGGAAAGATACACACACACACACACGTATTAAAAGATCCTTAATGATGAATTTATAATCAGTCTTCATAATCCTGACCCAGCTCAAAATTAATCTGACTGGAAAGAAGAAATATCAACATATAAAACACATAATAACCAAAAGAGTATATCCTTGATAAAAATATTGCCCATTTTCCAGCAAGTAATCTAAAAGTCATAAAAGAGCACATAAGATGTCCATACTAAATATAATTCTGAGGTAGCAGAAGGTAGAAATTGTTTTTCAAGTTTTTATAGAATATATATCACTTTAAAGTTTCATTTTAAATAAACCAAAGTCTATTCCTTAGATACACGTAATTTGCTAACTCTTTACAAACAATACAACTCAAGTTTATCTCCAAACTACCATATGTAATTTATTTTGTTTCCACTGACCTGGAGAAAAGCTAGGCAGCTATCTTTTGAAACTATATATCCAACAAGAATCTAATAACCAAAATATATATCAAACTTTGACAACTTAACAATAAAAAGACAAATAACCCAGTCATGAAATCAGCAAAGGACATGAACAGACATTTCTCCAAAGAAGGCATTCAAATGGCCACGACACGCATGAAAAGATGCTTAGAATCTTTAGCCATGAGAGATGCAAATTGAAACCACAATAAGATACCATTACACTCCCTTTTGGATGGCTGTTATAAACAAAACAGAAAATAGCAAATGTTGATGAGGATGTGAGGAAACGGAAACTTGTAACTGTTGGTGGTGGTAATTTAATATGGCACAGCTTCTGGGGAAAACAGCATGGCAGTTCCTCAAAAAATAAAAGAACTATCATATGACCTGGGAATTACATATAGATAAAGAAGCTGTGGTGGCATAGTGCCTAAGGCATTTGACTGCTAACTAGAAGGCTGGTGGTTCAAACCCACCAGCCACTCCTCAGAAGGAAAACTGGACAACCTACTTCTGTAAAGATTTACCACCTTAGAAACCCAAAGGCAGTGCTATGAGTCAGAATCAACTTGATGACAGTGAGTTTGGTTTATACATATATGTATACAAATACATATGTATATATGTGTATGTGTGTGTATATATATATACACACACACACGTAGATATATTTATGTGTATATACACACACACACACACATATGTAATTCCTGAGATATATATATATCCCCAAAAGACTTGAAAGCAGATACTCAAAAGGAGATTTGTATACGAATATTCATTGCAGCACTGTTCACAATAGCCAAAATGTGGAAACAACCTAAATGCCCATCAACAGATGAATGGATAAACAAAATGTGGTACATAACATACAGTGGAAAACTACTCAGCTAATAGGAAGAATGTAGTCTTGGTACATGCTATAGTATGAATGGAGCTTGAAGACATTACGCTGAGAGAAATAAGTCAATCATATAAGGGCAACTATTGAATGACCTCAGTTATGTAAAAAGACAAGAGAAATGTATACAGGCCAAAGTTTAGTAGTGGTAACTAGGGGCAGGACAGAAGGGGAAAAGGGGGGTCAATGGCATTAGAAAAAGAGCATTGATTACAATTGCTGCCAATAAGCTACATACCTGTAAAAAGGTGAATTGGCCAAAGTTCTGTGATAGATATATTTACAAAAATAACAACAAAAAAAGAACACCTGCTGAGCCTGTTTACATACAACCAAACATCTCATGGGATTGGGTTCCTTGGTTTAGAGGTTTAGGGTAATGGTTTCATGGGTTATCTTAGTTAATTGGCCTAATAATGCATTTAGCCCTTCTGTTCTACCTCCTAGTTGTGTAGTGCCTGGGGTCCTAAAAACTTGCAGCTTGCAAGTCGCCTCCCAGGCATAACAACTGGCCCCTATTCACCTGGAACAACAGAAGAAGAAAGAAGATTAGGAATAGGAGGATGATATGGAATGTGTGGTTAATTGCCTCTATGAATAACTTCTACCTTTGCCATGAGACAAGAGGAACTGTATGGTGCCCAGCTACCATTACTGAACACTTTGATCAAAGGGTCTATAGAAGAATCCTTATCAAAAGGAGGGAAATGCAGAACAGAACTTCAAATTCTTATGAACTCTAGACCTTCTGGCGCCATGGAGGGTGGATTAACCTCTGAAACTATCACCCTGAGACAATCTTTAAACCTTAACCAAAAATATCCTCTGAAGTCATCCTGAAACCAACAATAAGCAGCTCAACTACTTAAAAAAGGTCTGCCTTGAACATTATCAGGGGCTCTGGTGGCGCAGTGCCTAAAGCATTTGACTGCTAACCAGAAGGCTGGTGGTTCAAACCCACCAACCGCTCCACAGAAGAAAGGGGGGAAAATCTGCTTCTGTAAAGATTTACCACCTGAGAAACTCAATGGGGTCACTATGAGTCAGAATTTACTCGATGGCAGTGAATTTGGTTTGTTTTTGAGCACTATGCTCTTTAAAAACTATATGAGATCAAATTGACAACAGCAAGATTAGATAGGAACCTTAGGAGGCAGTGAATTTATGTCATTGAAGGAGGAACAACTCAGAAAAGGAGGTTAAGAATGGCTGCACACCTCAAAGAATATAATCAGTGTTCCTAAACTGTACATGTAGCAACTGTTGAATTGGTGTATGTTTTGCTCTGCATATTCTCAACAATAAAAACAACAAAATAAATAAAATTTAAAGGAAAAAACAAGCTAGACACATGGCTACATACCAAGATTTATTGACTGATCGAATTTTAATCTAAAGAACTAAATCAACAGGGAAAAAATTATATCAAGTATGAATTTTAAATTTTTTGCAATCCCCTAACCAATGTTTGACAGTTTTTTCCTTTAGTTTTGATTATTCATTAATAGATTATTTCACCCTGTATCAGTGAACACTGTAAACACAAGCCTACTAGAAAAGCTGACTTTATTTTGCCCCCACTGATTTTCTTCTTTCTTGTTCCTACCTTATGACTGACTAGTCATCTCCTCGATGACAAGTAATGTATTATTCACCTTCACCAAACTCAGCTTTTGCTAAACTTACTGCATCACAAATCCATTCCCCCACCCTCACCCCCCCGAGACCCAGAAAAAGTTCACTTTTTAAAAATCTGATGACATATCATATCATATTCTCTGAACCACTCCATGAGGAAAGCAGAACAAGTTCTAATGTTCCATTTTACTTATGAGAAATTATGTTCAGAGAGGTAACATAATTCATTTAAAGGCCCACAGGTGGTAAATGGTTTTAACCTCTTTCCCTGCTTTATTTCTGCTTTGCTCACCAAATCTTATTGTCAACTGAACTCCCACCCTACAGTTTTATCTTACACCACTGAATACTGGTATCCTGGGCCATTAATACCATTAGATATCATTTGAAGTGTGTGTGCTGGGGAAGGGAGGATCTAGAAGCAAGTTCTCTGATTTCAAGGCTAGTATTCTTCCCACTACACCTCACTGACTCTTTGATAATAAAATGCATAAACCCAGAAGATTATTATAACCTACTGAAAACTAGAGTCTTGGAGGCCTACAATGGGGATATCAGTGTTTTTCTTCATAAATTGTTATTCTAAAATAAGCATGCATTAAAAAGCAATTATCAGTTTAATAACGATATGACTTTGCAAATTGTCACCAATTAAAAATCATACTTAGAATTTTTTCATCAGTGAAACGACTAACATTAATTCAAAGACTTGTAAATAGTCACACGAACACAAAAAACCAAAGAACAAAAAACTAAATCTCAATTGTCTTTGTGCCACTGACATATCTAGTAATATACTCTTACTGTAGTATAATTTTTAAACTTAACCCAGGGGTATCTTTCACAAATTTTAAAAATGGAATTTTTAAGTGTAGAATAAGAAAGTAGTATCATTTCCCCTGTACAAAGCCTCATAAATACTAAAATACCCGGAAAAAAGTTCCATCTGTTTACCTCAGTAATTGGTTGTCCCTGATGTGTCAAATCCAGTTCTTGAGGGCGTGTTACTTTATCCATATCCAAAGAGTCCATACTAGAGGCTGCGGAGGTGACGCTGGAACGGGAGGAGCTGCTGAGAGAGCGCACGCCAGCGTCACTCACGGTGCCTGCGGATGCTGTTCTTCTGTGCTGGTTGCTTACTAAGGCCTTGGTCTCTTCCAGCACTGACTGCTGAGCAGCCTCATCCATGCTCAGAGAGGCCTGTTCTAACTGTGCAGTGATGTCATCCAGAGAGTAGTTGGCATGTGAAGGTTTAGTGATCCTATTAGACGAAGAAGACAATCCTTTCAAGGTGCCATGTTTTGATGTATGCCGACTAGTAGATAATTTCTGAGTAGCTTTTGTTTCTGTGATTTGACGCTTACTATTTCCTGAACCGATACTGCTGAGCTCCTGCTCTATAGAGCAAAGATCGGCCATCAGGGCATCCAGATCCACAGTCTCTCCCTGATTCAGAGCTTCTGCAATGAAAATACATGCTTCTGGAACACACTGAATCAAAACTTACACATTCTATTATAAATCAGTTACTAAACGCAAGGAAAGAAGAAAAAGATTTTAGGCCATTGGGTAAAAAGCCAATCAAATAAAGTATTTGTAACAGTTTTGTTATTTGCTTTAAATTCCAAGAGACATTTTTAGAAGGAAACAGTTCATCTTTTTTAAGTGCTATTGTCATCAAAGAAAAATAAATAATGAGTTGAAAGACCAAAAAAAATGCAAAAATCTTTTACTGTTCCCTGGTTTTACCTGCCCCCACCCCAATGCAACATTTACCAGAACCTTTAATAAGCTGTGGATATGATCATTGGCCTGGTAGAGATGTTAGGACTGAAAGAAGTGAAGGCATAAAAAGAGAAGTGTAAAGAAAAATTAGACTGGACTGTCAACTCCAAACACTATAAAGCTGACTAGGTAAGAGTGTGTGAAATAAAGGCCACAGGGTTGATTTTAAAATTACTAACAATTTCACTGGACTTTAAACCCAGTGAAAAAAACAATACAAATACATTTGTTAGCAGTTCCAACTAAATCTATACTTTGTCAATTATTATAAATCAAGTAGAAAAATATTTCAGTTTTTAAATTTTTTTTCTGTAATAATTCAAGTTAGTAATATAATGCATAAATCAAGAAATATAGAAATCCAGCAAAAAATATGCACATAGTTTTTATCTTGAGCTATTGGGAACTATGGGAGCTCTGGTAGCATAGTGCGTAAGGCACTTGACTGCTAACCAGAAGGCTGGCGGTTCAA